ATCGACAATACCTTATCAATCGTGTAATTGTTGAGAAACAATATTTAACTGTTTAACGCATAATTAGCACTACTTATTACCATTTAAGAGAAAAAACACATACATTGTTATGTGCTGTGAATTGCCTAAAATTAAATTATCGCTATTAATTACATCATTATTTTAATATTTTTAAAATTTTAATTAAAATTCAAGACCCATATTAACAAAGCGATAATTCTCATCCAAAGCCGTCACAAATTCACAGGTAATACCAATTATAGCGCTAATAATCTAATTAATATAAATTAATTTATTAAATGCTATAATTAAATAAACTAAACAAAACAACAATTATTCAAGAATTAACAAGAAAATTTTAAAATTAAAAAGTTTCTAGTTAACTGTAAACATCAATAACTCATTATTACACAAACTAAATTATTAAGAATTTATAAGTTTAAACCAAATTAAAAAGTGCAAAACAGTAAAATTCAATTATGGTAAACATAAACCTTAATGAAACCCTCGATTTTTGAATAACTGGCCGAACAATGAAATTGTTTCGGTGTTTTACTAAGAGTTGAGTCAACCAATACTTTGAAGTATCGCTCAAACAGAGCGTATGTCCACCAAAAGCCAAAACATAGGAAAAATGATCCAGGTAATAAATGACCGGCCAATGAGCCCATAATTCAATTATAGTTGAATGATCACTAAATAATAAAGTCTTGGTCAATTTGCTATCATTTATTTTATATTATTTAAAATTTATAATTTATATATTGATATAATAATACTGTATTATTTACACTATTTTTCCGAATATATAACGCATACAAAGACAACAAAATAACAGACAAATAATGATTCAATGATTAATAATTGTCAACCAATTCATCAATGGTTAGTAATAATATCTGAATTGATTCATTATAATATCTGTTATTTATAGAATTCTCTCTCTCTCTCTCTGTCTCTCTCTCTCTCTCTCTCTCTCTCTCCCTCTCTCTCTAACAATTAATTATTAATATGATTCATAATTTTCTTTGTAAGAATGCATTCAAACTTATTGTTTTAAATACATATTATTGTATACTGTAATTATAATGACGTTAAATATTAGTTTGTTAAGTCATAGTGAATATGATTTATCTTAAAAATCTTAAATGTTATTCATCATTAATTTTCAAAAATAGTCTCAATTTCTGATAATTTGACCATAATTGTTGACCATATACATTTTCTAAAATATAACACTATATTATGATCAAGTTTGAGTAGTTACCAAAGTAAGAATTGCTCGATTGTGTTCAAATCTCAAATCTATATCTACTATAACTTATAGTTAGTTATAGTCTATAACTACAGTATTTTAGGGTTAAATTCTAAATACTTTCTATTGATTTAATTAATATTTGTCACAAAGTGAAGGATATATTTTAAATACTTTTTTAAAAACTATGTGAAACTTTATTTCTTATTTATAGCAAATTGACATTGTTAAATTATTATTTTTTAAAATTGTCTACAATATAAATTATAGTATTGAAAATGTATAATTTTACTAATCAATGTTATTAAGAGCTTTTAAGTTCATTGGATAACAAAACAAATTGTTAATCCATGACTAATGACAACAAAAATCTAGTCTATTATTAATATATCGAATTAATTAAAATTTGTAATTAGTATTCAATATATATAACAACAAAATATTGACTCATTGTCTAAAATCAGAATTCAATGTCAGTGTCTATAACTTTGATCTCACAGTCAGTCATTGTTTTCACTTTTTATCCGTAATGAATAACAAGTGTTGTCTAGAAATCAATTCATTTTTAAAAATCACTAAATATTTTACTGTTTGAGAAATTTTAAAATTTAATAAAAATTATAGAACCTGAGAAAATATAATAATAATAATGCACAACTAGCATCATGATTAGTTAGAAGATTAAGTTAGAAGATTAAGCTCAACAATCACACTAATTTATAACAACCTCGGTGATCAACTATTATGTAGAATAAATATTTATTTCTAAATTTTAAATTAAATTTAAAATAAATTATGCCCATGATCATGTAATTTATAGTAATATTTTGCTTTATAAATCTATCTTAAGATTATATTATATTATATAAGTGGTCAAATGTATTAATATTATTGCTAATAAATTATTATTATAGATAATAATATTACAGTTAAACTTCTTGACACTAAATTATATTTTATAACTAAATATAGCATAAAATAGTTGCATAATAAATAAAATTAATGTAGCATATTGAATTAAAGTTTAATTTTAATTTTAAACAAAAAATTAATTAAAGTTAAATAATACTTTACTTCAATTTGACAATTCAAACCAAAAATGTAAAGTTTTAAACATTTCTACTAACATTAAAAACGATGTTTTACTCGACGAAGAGTTGATATAATTATTATAATATATATAAATAACAATTATAAGAAAACAAGATTTGCAAGCAACTCGAAATTAACTACAATTTGATTAAAACAATATAAAAAATAAAATATTTGAAATTTGTTGTAGAGAGATTTTATTATAAATAAAATTCTCCATAGATTTGCCATAACTATTGAATTAACAGTTCGACTGAATTATCCGATACTAAAAGCATTGTTCGTAGTCTTAACATGTGGTGGAAGTTAAATTATATAAACTACAATGACCATGCTGAATTGTAGTTTTAACAGACACATAACCAATAGGTTTGCCAATAGTTGTGTTATTCATTGGAATTGCAATTTTCACTTTAATTAACACATTATTAAAAACATATTTTCTCGAATTACTTAATGCTTTCATAAATATATTTATAACTTTTACACAATATTTACGCAAATAAATAATAATAAATATACTGTATTAATATTGTTATGATTAATGTACTGGTGAATTGTCGAATACATATTTGTACTGCTTATTTATTAAGAGTACAATCACCTCACCCCAATCACTTATAGTAATTTTTACATAATTAATATTCACTATTTTATTTATATTTCGCATTTATAACTTAATTTAGTTATTGAGTGTCAAATATATCTCACCTGTTTGTACAGCTTTTATAAATTAATCAAGTTCAGATTAATTACTGACCATCACCAACTAATTACATCTTACCGTAGTTATTTCATTGTAACAAAACATGTAATTAATAATTATTATAAAAATAAATTGCATGAAAAATTTAATTTAAACGAAAAATTGCTTTAAAAACCTTTACAATAGTATTAAAAAACAAAATTTCAAAAATTATTTATTATTAGAATTGTTGTGATTCTCATTATTAGAAAGTTGTGTATCACTGGAATCGGTCTCTTCTGTATTAATACACTTCCAGAGGCCATACGTTTTGCCGACAGTTGTCTGCCATAGCCGTAGCGTTCCGTCTTCGCTGCCACTGGCGTAAAGTTCGCCGTCGGGTGAAAAGCGGACGCAATGAACGCCACCGAAGTGTCCCTTAAAGGACTCTAAAAGCGATACATATATTAAGGAGAGAGTGAGAAACGACTCACACATCAAAACAATTCAATTACAAACCAATTTCATTGCCGTTATTGTAGTCGTATTTATACATTTTGAAGTCCTCTCCTCCGCAGACAAACACACTTTTGTCCGGATGTAGTGTTGAGGACAACACTTGCGTCGGAATCTTAAACTCTTTGATCGTTTCCATGGAATTCATGTCCAAAAACTGGACGTAATTGCCGTAACAGATGGACAATAGTTGGGAATCTTTCGAGAGTTCAATACTATAGGGAATTGTATTGAAATCTAATTTCTTAATCTCTTGTTGCGATGTTTTGTCCCAAAATCTAAT